AAAACAAAAATCCATCTGAAATGAAAATGTATGTTTAAAAAATACACGGTACCATAATTTGTTTTTCCTAAATAAATTTAATAAACAACTTTGAACCCCATTTTTTTGTTCTGTTGCAAGACAATTAACCCACAAATTACAAACAAGTTTTTGTGTTGATCACTACTGGTGGGATCCCACATTACATCATAATGAGTAAATCACTCAATGTAAATAACTAACCAACACTAATTACTAGGATTAAATGCAATACTTGCAGCATGTTAGTCTTAGTTTCTTGAATGACTTATATATATATTATTTATGAGTCTGTAATGAAGAAAACTATGGACAAGTAAGCCATTTTGTGCATAAATAGTTTAGGAAAATGTTTCAAAAATCCTATGGGTCCATGTAGACCCCTTCAGTAATTCTAGAGTTATACAACATTATATTCAAACTACACTTTCTTGAATCTTTCAGAACAATTCCTTGGATTTGTTTTTTAAATCCAGTAAGATGTACTCAAACATTGATTATTTTTATAGATATCAAAAGTGTGACGACTCTCATCTAAAAGTAACTTCTAATTCATATTACAGGGTATCCGAAAAGTCTGGAACCATGGGTGATTTACATTTTAGTAGTTAATGACATCTTCCCAAGACTACTTAAGGTACAATCAGGGACACCAAACTCTGAAACTACGAATTTGCAACAAGTGTTGGACCATTGACAATGACCAGAATATGATACACATTGATCAGAGAAAATGGAAATACCGTTTCCAAACTTATTTCGAATTATAAGGACAGCATGTGGAACACATTCTGTAAAATTCCTTGAAGTGCCTATGGTTCCCGTATATTGATTTTTATTAAGATAAATAATGTGATTTATTTATCAAAAATTACAGTATACACTAGATAACACCAACAGCAAACATGCAAAAAAAAAACCTATACATTAGCACAGAAAGTAGAACCTACCAGACTGTTTTGCATTCCTATTAACTTGCCAGCAATCTATATGAAAAGAAAAAACATGACAATATTAGAAATATTTCAAAACCTAAAGGAAGCGTATCAAATATAGGCTTTAAAAATGATTTAAAAGCTTACTATTTGTGGAGAACCAAGTTTTTTATCCATTACATGTGTGTGTGTGTGTGTGTGTGCATGTTTTAGCAAAATGACCCAAGTGTATAGCAAAATAATCCTGCAACTTGCTTATCTTAATCCCACACTACCCCCCCAAAAAAAATTATATATATATATATATATATATAT